CACACACCTCTCTGTTACACACACACACACACACACACCTCTCTGTTACACACACTCATGTCTGCGGGGTGTGTTTTGTGCAGTGAGCGTGTGCAGTGAGTATCTGGGCTCCTCTCGCCAGGGTCTCGTCGTGTTTCATGAGCACATCACAGACCTGCTGTCTGGAACGGTGAGACACGTCTGTCAGCCCACATGACTCAATACAACATCTGCTGACACGACTGTAAAACTGTGTGTGTGTGTGTGTGTGTAGGGCTTCCTGGAGCACACCTACCTCTTCTACGGTTACTATAAGCTGGAGTTCATTCATTCCCGCTTCACCTACAACCTGCCGCTGGCGTATCTGCTGGCTACGGTCTCGTACCTGCTGCTGAGCCTCGTCTGGATCGTCAAGAGGTCAGTTAGACGATTGAGAGCGCGCACCACACTGGTTTGTTTCTCCCAGTAGTGTGTGTGATTGTGGAGATCGGTTGAGATCAGTTCTGGTGATATTTGGGTGTTCGTTTAGGTCTGCGGCCGGTTTCAAGCGCAAGCTCATTCAAGACGAGGACCGCTTCCAGAGCTTCTGCAACAAGGTGTTCGCCGGCTGGGACTTCTGCATCACCAACGAGAACGCGGCGCGTCTCAAGCGGAGCAGCTTACTGTATGAGCTCAAGGTGCGTTTGCTTTCGGTCCGCAGGAACGAGACGCCAGTGACTGTAATCATTCATTTCTTCATGTTGTGACAGATGGATCTAGAGGAGGAGCGAATCAAGCACAAGATGGCGAATCGCACGCGCGGCGAGAGGTGTCGCATCTACGCTCTCAGAGCCGCTCTCAATCTCTTCGTCATGGCCGTCCTGGTGGCGTGCTTCTACTGCATCTATGTGGCCACAGTCTTCTCGCAGCGGAAGCAGGCGGAGGTGAGTGTGCGCTTCTTTAGTTCCTTGTTTTATTTCTGATCTTCTGTTCAGTTATGTTTATGTGTGTGTTCAGGATCAGAAGAGTAACTTCCTGCTGGAGCTGGTCGTGGAGTATCTGCCCTCCATCGTCATCACACTGGCCAACTTCATCACGCCGCTGATCTTCAACCTCATCATCGCCTTCGAGGACTACTCACCTGCGTTTGAGATCCGCTTCACGCTCATGAGGCAAACAAACACTGAGTCACCAGACGAGCGTCCCACTGTCCTCTAGTGCAGCGCTTCTCAATTCCAGTCCTGGCGCCCCCCGCTCTGCACAGTTTGCATGTCTCTCTTAGTTAACACACCTGATTCAGATCAGCAGCTCGTTAGAAGAGAGCTCCATGCCTGAACTGTGTTCCAATTGGCATGATCCCTACTCCCTGAGCACAGGAAATCCGTTCAAGTTTACTTCACTTCGGAACGTTCATTCGATCATTCGCAGCCTGCAGCGTCTTCACACACAGAAGAAACTCACTAGAGAAGTGTGACAGAATAGACCCCTGTAAATAAATACAGTTTAAATTCACGTCTTGCACACTTTGAATGGAACATATACGCTCCCTTCAAACTGGAATCATAGCGAAATATTCTGTGAAGTCCACTTTGGACGTCTGAAGTGATAAGAGACATGTTAAATGTGCAGAGCAGGGGGTCGTGAGGACGGAAACTGAGAGCCGCTGCTGGAGCCCCAAACAATGCACATACATCACTGAAAAAGACGATTTTGTTCCAAAATGTCCTCCATCCACACTAGCATTTAACAAAAGTTGTTCATAAAACGTTATAAAAAGTGCACTGTAGTGAAGTGTCCGTCAGATGTGCACTTCAGAATCTCGCCGGAAATAGTAGGCCATCCAGCTGTATTTCGCCTACTGTTTTATGAATACTATGAATTCAGACATATAACTCTGTTCACATACTGTTTCTGCCAACTGTATATAGTAGGGAAATATGTGATTTCAGATGCAGCCTTAGTCTTAAGTGTGTCACAAATTAAAAAATGACGTGAAAAGCATATGCTTATAACCCTGAACTGGGTGTGCGATCTGCAGTACTGAGGGAAACACGCGTGTGATTTTCATTGTGTGTGTTCAGGTGTGTGTTCATGCGATTGGCCAGTATCGGTGTGATGCTCTTCTCTCTATGGGACCAGATCACGTCCTGTGGAAGTTCAGGCTGTCCCTGCGGCTACAACCATAAGCTCTACCCCGTACGACACACTCACACACACACTCACACAGACACACACACACTCACACAGACACACACACACACACAGACACACACACACACACACACACACACACACACACACACACACACACACACACACACACACACACACACACACACACACACACACACACACA